CGTTTTCCTTCTCACCCAGGGATGGGGATGGGCGGGGGGGGGGGGGGGGAGAGAAGAGGGAGGGAGGGAAATCTGAATGAGGGGAGGCCAGGCAGGTTTCTAGTTCTCATTGGGAGATTCAGAAAGGTCTCCTCCTTTTTTTTTAAGCCTCCTGAACAGAGAAATCCCAAGTTGGAGCAGGAGTAATTTCCTGGTTTTCAGAGGGAAATTATTTTCGTCCAATCCGTAGCTTTTGTGTGAAATCTTTCCCTCTTTTCTATTTTTCTTTCTTTCTTTCTTTCTTTCCTTCCATCCTCCCTCCCTTTTTCACAAAAATTCCCTTCTTTCTTTTTCTTTCCTTCCTTCCTCCTTTCTTTTTCCTTCTTTTGTTCCTCTTTTCCTTCCTTCCCTCCCTTCATCCCTCGCTCCATTTCCTTCTTTCCTTCCTTCTTTCCTTTCCTTTCTTTTTCATTATTTTCCTCCCTCCCTCCCTCCATTTCTTTCCTTCCTCCCTCCCTCTTCTTTCTTTCATTCATTTCCTTCCTTCCTTCCCCTTCCTTCCTTTCTTCTTTTCCTCCATCCCTCCCTCCATTTCTTCTTTCCTTCCTCCCTCCCTTCTTCCTTCTCTTTTCCTTCTACTTCCTTGTTTGTTCTTTCCTTCCTTTGCGTTCCTTTCTTTCTTTCCTTTCTTTCTTTCTTCTGCCATCCATCCCCCTCTTCTCTCCATTTCTTTCCTTCCTTCCTTCTCTTTTCTTTCTACTTCCTTCTGTCATCCATTCCTCTCCTCTCCATTTCCTTCCTCTCCTTCCTTCCTCCATCCTTCTCTTCTTCATCCCTCCCTCCATTTCTTCTTCCCTTCCTCCCTCCCTTCTTCCTTTCTTTTTCATTCTTTTCCTTCTTTGTTCTTTCCTTCCTTTGTGTTCCTTTTCCTTTCTTTCCTTCCTTCCTTCTTTCTTTCTTTCTTTCTTCTGCCATCCATCCCCCTCTTCTCTCCATTTCTTTCCTTCCTTCCTTCTCTTTTCCTTCTACTTCCTTCTGTCATCCATCCCTCTCTCCTCTCCATTTCCTTCCTTCCTCTCCTCCTTCCCTCCATCCCTCTCTTCTTCATCCCTCCCTCCCTCCATTTCCTTCCTTCCTTTCTCCCCACCCCACCCCGCTCCCGATTTTTAGGGCTGCTGGTGAATAGAAAGCAAAGGCAAAAAAATATGTATCCCCAAATCCCAAACCGATTGTGTTTTCTTCGTGTTAATCAATGACCCAATCAAACTGCGCATTGGCGCCCTGCCCCCCTCCTCCCTCTTTTTACCTTTCCCCCACCTGCGATAAGCTCCGCCCCCTCTTCCCCATGTCTCCACCCACAACATGGGCGCAATCTTTCATCATATGCAAACCGGTATATTTAGTTCAGGTTGATTGTGTACCCAAAAAAATATATGTATTTGTGTTTGACCAACTCATTTTTTCTAGCCCTGTTTAAACACTGCCACACCTTTGCAGAGTATTTGGGAAATTTAATGTATTTTTCATGCAGTTATTTAATCTTTCCTTCCTTGTTTATTATTTTAGACCAATAACTGAACCATCCGTTTCTACCCTACCGGGAACGGCC